CGTGAGAATTACGCAATATTTGTACACGATGTTTAACATTCCACAGTTTCTCCAACTAATTCGAGAATGTAATAACTGTACAAGTGTACAGTGCTGCAAATGATCCCCGACCGCAGATGATCTCCAAATTGGACCGCAAAAGATCCCGAACCGTAAATGATCCCCGATGTGGACAGCAAATGATCCCGCCGGAAAACAAGGAATGGCATGGAGGTTGTTCCTCTGGTCGAGATTTCAATTTTTAACCTAAACAGAAACAATTCATAACTGACCATATTCTGTATAGACATAATTCTCAGGAGAACAGTTCTTCGGATAGATTACCGTATTAAAGAGTTCTGCGGAATGCCTTGTAAAGTGCTTTGACTCTATATAACCATAACATTTGATTCATAACAACTTGACCGAAGCGAAAATTGTGAAAGGATAATTAAAGTCAGATCAGTCCCTCAATATTCTGCATCTCAGTCAATTTTCTAAATCTTGTCTAATTTTCTCGACTGCAAGTTTGGTCATACCTTGGATGCTAGGGACTTTTCAAGTGCGGTTTCCGGTTTTGGTTAATCGCGCGAAATAATAAAACCTCTGATACTTAGGGCACTCTTGTTATCGATTTTGAAAATCAGTAGCAAGAAATTTTAGCGGATATCGGGTTGTCATAGTATCTATGAACCTATGTATCAGGTTAAGGTTGTTCATGAGGCAACTCGAAAACGGCTTACGACTGCCATTCTACTTTTCGTAATGATATCCGGTTTCAATATGGAATTTCTGGCTGTAAATTGCAGATGCGAAACCCAAACGGGCTTGAAGTGTTAAAATGCGGACTTTCTAGCTCAAAGAATATCATTCGTAGGGCTAAAAGGTCATGAATACTCACGATCGCTCTTACTGGTGCTGTTAACATAAAATATATGCAAGTTATATATGTCTTCGTTATGGTAGCATTAACTTATTATTGCACTGTAGATCGAGCCAATTGAAAAATGGTACGGTATCGCTGTTTACGACCTTTTTTTCCGTGAATTTTCAGAAGAATTGTCAAGAGGAAATGAGATGGAATTATTTATCTCGAGAATTATTTTTGTAGTTTACGTTATCAATATCTTTTCTTGACATTTATCGTTTGAATGATGAAAATAAAATGACTAAATAAAAACATGAAAGCAAACTCTACACCATTTCTCGTTTTCCAGTGGGATCATTTGCGGTCCACATCGGGGATCATTTACGGTTGGGGATCATTTGCAGTCCATTTTGGCGATCATTTCCGTTCTGGGTATCATTTGCGGTGCAAATTACCAAAACAAAATTCATTTTACTGGGATTTTAGGGCTGTTTACGAGGAGAGTGGGTCACGCTAGCAAGCGGGTTACTCCAACACTCACACATTTCCTCTTTTTTTCTTCGTCGTGTTTACAAGGCAGCTAGGGTTACCCGGATAGGCGGGTTGCCCTATCTGCGTGCTAGGGTTACCCTGGCAGGCGTGTTAACTTTTTCCCTTGTATTAAAGCAAGTGAAATTTTATTTAGCTTAACCGAGGACGAGGTCTGTATGGGAGAATCTTGACCGAGGTCGTAAGTACAGACCGAACGCAGTGAGGTCTGTACACACGACCGAGGTCAAGATTTTCCCATACAAACCGATTAAGCTCGGTTAATAACATGTTTATTATATGGCAACAAGAACAATTTTAAAATTCGTTTAATGTGACTGGTTTGCACTAGCTGACATTTTGCTTGAGAACGGCGATGAGCCAAACTTAATTTTGTCAAAGTTTGCTCGTCCTCTATACTTCTTTTCTCATCAGGCTTTTTGTCACTTCCATAAATAAACATTGTTAGAAGAAAATAGTCCATATTTGTGTATTTTAGTTTGTAACTTTTTCACCGCAAAATGTAACCGGTCTAGATGCCGGTCTAGATTGGTCTAGATGGGAAAATCTAGACGGCTTTCAATATCGGTTTCAGCCAATCAAATTCGTGAATTCGGTAGTTCCCAGTCCTCGTGAGACACAGCCATATAATAAAACTAAAAATAACACTAGCGGGTCTGTCAGTAAAACGCCCGCTTTGTACGCTCATAAGCTCTTTTTCCCTCCTTGTTCAACGGAATCACAGGTTATCAAACTTCCCTGTTTGTGTGGTCAGTGAAATGGTCATCATAATTAAAATTAACAATTAAAAGTGAGCCATAGGTCACCGAGTTAAAACGATTTGGTTGGACGCTACTAGCGGTTTGCGATATTTTCATCTGTTGTGGCTGATGACATGTGGAGAGCAGTTGCCGATATCCGCTCCGTGTGTCGCACAGATCGAATTCAACTCGAGATTTGCTTTTTTTCCAGGGAACTTTATACTGAGGTAACGACCAGCTTAGGTAGGGAGCCGAGCAAAGTAATTTAGAGTTTTTATTAAAAGGTGTCCTGGCAAGATTCCGATTTGGAT